GCTCTTCCGATCTGTGCCTATGCTCATCTTAAAATTTCTCTAGGATTAATGTTGCATCATATAGTGCTATTTGGTATAAAAAAGTTTGAAATTTGAGGTCCAAAAAATGGGTCTTTTAAAATGAGCAAAAAAACAAGTATTTTTGCCATCTACACTCTTTCTATATAATTTTACAAACTTTATTAGATTTTTCTATATAAAATTGAATATTTTTCAAAAGTATTTGAAAAAATCTATTTTTTCTAATATATATCTAATATATATCTTTTCTAAAATTATTTGAAAAAATCTATCTTTTCTAATATATATCTAATACATATCTTTTATAAAATTATTTATATTTTGAAATATTCTAAATGTGTGTGCGGGTGTGTGAATATTATAAGAATCTTTTTGTTAGAATACAATTTTAACTTAATAAAAAAAAATACCTGAATATCTTTGTGCTCAGCCAAAAGTAATAATAAAAAGAATATACCCATCGCTGTTGTGTCATGACCCTGTAATCACGTTTTTACATCGAATATATCCAAATAATACATTGGAAAAAACTACGAATACTTATAAGCATACTTCAAACATAAAAGTATCGACTTCCTCTCTGATATCTGAATCAGTTAAAAGACCCTCTCGAGATGCCGCTATTAGAAGATCCAACAATGCAAGTCGTTTCTTTCGTACTAAATCAATAAAGTATAATATTGTATCATTATCAATCTAGTAACTTAATTTCCTAATATTTTATCGTAATGCTTACATTATAGATTATTAATTACGTCTAACATTTAAAGTATATTAATAAATTATAAAAAAATAATTTATGCAATTTTAGACTACTGTATTTATGTATAAAATTTGGTGATTGTGACATAAGAACTGCGCATCAGCTTTCTGTCTCAAACGTATGAATTAAAATTCATTTAGATCAATATCAGATTTCTAATCAATCATCTCACGGAATGCAATGGCAACCCACCAAGAGTACCTTGGAGAAAATAAAAATCGGAGTGTAAGTCGAATGTAAGGGGAGAGTGACAGAAACGTAAACAAAATTTCTATAAGAGACAAAAATTAATTGGAAAAGCGAAATGTAAAAGGAATGTAAACGCTAACTCCTAAAAGTTCCGTTTATGCTTCTGTCACTTTCCCCTTACATTCGACTTACACTCCGATTTTTATTTTTATCAGGGTACCTTTGCCAAAAAAATCCTCGTGTCACATATTCAATTGTAATTGCTATAGTAACCGGAAGCGATGATCATGATTTTCAGTTATAAGGAACTGATTATGATAAAGCTAAATTTAAGATATAATACTTTTGATTACGCACTTCCCATCGTTTGTACATCATCTTCTTTTACCGATGAGACATCATCAAAATTTTTCAAAAATCGACCATTAGTGCGTTCATGATAAAATTTCCTTTCCGCAATAATCTATAACAGTACAAGTTTAATTCTTTCTTTATGATTTATAATATTTACATAAATGTATTAACATAACGTCTTGTTAATATTTACTAATTATGTTGTAATCTTATATTTTTATACAATATTAAATTGCTTTTATGTAATTTCTCAAAATAGATAGTGTTTTGATACAATTATGCTCATACTTTCTACGTACCCGTTCAGTAAATTCATGTAGTATCTTTAGAATCTTCTTTTGTTCTTTGCCTTTTGTCGTCCATGAGTATATCCAATCGTTGCGCAGCCATTGTCTTGTTACTCTAAATCATATTTATTGAATAATATAGACATGCTATTTTAAGAAAATGAAAGTAAAAAGCGATTTTGTACATTTCCTTTCTTTGATTCTATTATACTCCTACAAATAGTAATATGTTATTTAATAACTATATAAAAAAAGAAATAGATTTACGATAATATATAATAATTAGGCTAAAGAGATATATGTATATGTATTAAAAGCGTATATATTTTTCTTAATTTTACATTTTAAAATCAAAGATGACACATCTTTACATTTGATTTTCACAACATTTCAGGACATAGCATTTTAAAAACTTTAAGTAACATTAACTTTTAAATAAACAAGTTAATACACATTCAATGCATAGATTGCTAATTAATTATTAACATAACTGATGTTTTACTTCAAATATTATTAAACATATGTATATTAGGCCGTTTGCGAGCCAACACGGATGACGGTGTGTACTAATTTCTTTTTATAATAAATTTAATATCCAATCACACGCAAACTGCGCGCCGCAATTCGTCGGATTGAAACGCAGTTCATTACATGCGGCCGGAATAACTTGTAACAAATTAAATCGATTAACGATTTAATTTTTTTGATGCTTTACGCATCTAAATCCCCTTCCTTCCCGAATCTGTAGAATTATTTATTGCGAAAAAAATCACCTCAACTCTCAGCCAGGAATCGAACCCGGATCTCCTTCATTTGCCGGATTTGGGCATCCTATTTTTAGACCACCGAGGTTGGATATTGTATAATAAAAAGAAATTATTACACACCGTGTTGGCTCGCAAACGGCCTAATATGTATTTGATATGTTCTAGTGAGCCCATGTATCTAAATTGTTCAAATATTATTATTTATCATAAAATGATAAATAATATAATTCAAGTGCTCCACTACTTTTTTATTTATTCAAATAAATAAAAAAGTAGTGGAGCACTTGGATTAGCATTCTAAGTGCTAGGAGTGAAAACAAAAAATCTTGAATCAAATATACATATACATATACGTATATACACTCGACACCAAAATTAAAAGATTACCTATTCTGATTGTTAAAAATAGACAAATTGATCTTCTATATTGTCCTACAATATATTAATATTGTAGGACAATGAGAAGATCAATTAGAAAATAGTCATAAATGATCAGAATAAATAAAAAAGTAGT